GAGTGAGCAAGACCTAAGCTCTGTTCCAACCGACATGAGAACCATTCCAGAACCAGTAATTTCTAGTTGCCCACTTATTTTTTGACAAGTTAAATGTTTATCCTACTGAATTGATCGACTCTGGAAATTACCGTTTTAGAATAGTTTTTATGTCGGTTGGAACAGAGCTCAAGAAAACTCCGATTGAAAACTATTTGGTTCGGTTCAGGCTTCCTGGATGATCCAGAATATATTGCAAGTGATGATTCTGATTATTTTGATGATTCTGTCAGCTCTAGTGAGCCAGAAAATGTAAAATAAAGAGGCACCATTTTATTTTTCGTATGTTTCCCACAGGGCCACTAAAATTAAAAACCTGAACTTTCGTATGGGCCACAGCGGGCAGGCTGTTCTATATAATTTAACATACTATCGGGCATCTGGCCTAGAGAACTTTGAAAATTTGGCAGCGATAGTCGGTCATTGGTGACCGCCGCCGTGGCTTACCAGGAACTACACCGATCGGTCACCGCTGACCGCCATGGCGCTTAACGTGTTAATAATGACTGCCAATTTGCGTTCCAAGCTAAGATGAATACAGGTGATGTGAGGTTTAATATTCTGGAGTTACTCTTCCTGGGTCTGAATGATGTTGATCTTGCTGCAACAGTTTTTTACGAATTCTCGAAAGTGTTCGACTGTGTTAATCGCGAATTGTTGCTGGGCTCTGTGAAGTACGCAGGAACACTTGAAGTACAAAAGTTAAATTTCACGTAATGCTCTTCTAACGCTTCGTTATAGTGCTTGAATCCCCAAATTAGCAACCCTTGTATTTCTGATTTTAGATATAGCCTGAATGATTACTTCACACCTAAAGAACAAGGAAAGCACCACCAACGTTCAGTTACAGATAAGTGGTACTTCAATGTGCTTCAATCCCCAAATTAACAATCATTGAAATTTTCAGAAATATTCCGGTTTTTAGAAATCGCCTGCTTAGTTCACACAGAGCAGGCACATTGGAAGCATCAACGTTTAGTTGTAGATAGATGGTTAGTGCTTCAATGTGCTTCAATCCCCAAATTAGCAACTCCTATATTTTCAGAGATATTTCGTTTTTCAGAAATCGCCTGCTTACTTCTCACCCAGCAGGAACATGGAAAGCACCAACGTTCAGTTTTAGATAAATGGTTAGTGCTTCGTTAGTGCATTATGATGTAGTACTTACTACCTCAGCTTTTAACAACTCTTATAGCGAATTCCATTGGTAGAACCAGTGCAGAAAAAATATATATTCATATTATCTTTCTTATACAAGCTGGTAAAAAAAGACACGAATACACTCAGTGCGCACTAACCCTTTCAATGGAATTCGCTATTATACTCCCAGAGATATTTCGACTTTTTGTAATCGCCTGCTGATTTCACCATACGAAGACCGAGAACCGAGAATATGAAGAGCATAAACTCTGGTCTGAATTACTTAAATATGATTAGTAGGTACTAATTGCTTCCTAATCCGGTTTACTCATCATCCGATAATCTCACTGGTAACTATCTACAAGATAAATTTGCCAATCGATTATCCTATTGGTCGACCAATGACTGGCCGACTAATAGGATTATAAATTGCGTTTTCATCAGTCAGATAATATACCTGATGGTTTATTAGTAAGTGAATAAACCGGGCCTTAGTTTCTCTTTTGAGCATCCGTTATATTCATGTTATCCCAAATCTTATAGATCAGTACTAGCATGTCTCCACTCTCCTTTCCATCTTCTCAATTTCATGATTTACCAACACTTTTTCCTGTATCGTCTGGATCGATTCAAATTCCAAGATAAATAACATCACTTTCTGCTCTTTGAAATAGTGATATTCAGGAGAAAGGCGTTTATTTTCAAGATAAATGTGTAACTATCAATAAAACAGTCTGTCACGTTGCAGATATTCTGAATACAATTGAGTATAGTAAAGCTGTTTGACAAAGTAGTTTTCTTGAATATTGTTGTTCTGTAGAGCAGTTCAGCTTTTAACTGATTAATTCTACAGATTGCTCTATATTAAAAAAAAATCCTTAAGGAGGGAAAGGTGGCTCACTTTAAGCAGTAATGAATTGTTGAACGCCATCACTCGAATCGCAGATAGCACTTGAGAAGCATTGAACTAGTGTATCGAAGGGACATGTGTTTCAAATCTGAAGTTTTTCTCCATCTATATTATATGCTATGTGTGAACCTCAATGGTATAAATTAAGAAGGCAAGTTCCAAACACCGCAATATCTCCAAAAATACAAGGGTTCCTAATTTGAGGATTGAAGCAATAACGAAGCATTAACCATTTATCTCTAACTGAACGTTGGTGCTTCCAATGTTCCTGCTATGTGTGAACTAAGCAGGCGATTTCGAAAATCCGCAATATCTCTGAAAATTTAAGGGTTGCTAATTTGAAGATTGAAGCACTAACGAAGTGCTGAACGATTACGTAAAATTTAACTTTTGTGCTTTAAGTGTTCCTGCCTACTTCACAGAACCTTTTGTTGCTGGGGGAGCTTTACTATTACGGTTTTAGAGGGGTGGTACTTGGTTGGCTTGAATAATTCCTTAACAACAGGAAGCAGATTGTCAGGTGTAAAGATAACAAATCAAAATCAGGTGGCTTTTATTAATCAATAATCCTCACCCCAAGGTTCAGTTTTAGGACCACTATTTCCACTATACTCTTCCTTCTATATATAAATGACCTGACTAACGTGGATATTGATGGAAAATTGACCTTGCTTGTTGATCACACCACTATTTTATGGATTGAACGTGAGTCACAGATTTTGCAAACAAAAGTTCAGAATGATGTCATGAGGTAAAAGAGTGATGTGATGCTGGATGCAAATTATTTAACATTCAATATCAAAAAAACAAATTATGTCTTGTGTGGCAATGCAGAATGACAAAATTGTTACCAAATTATCAACAAAATTTCTGGAAATTACTGACTTTAGACATCATTTTTCTGATCATATAATTGCACTTGATAAAAAGCTTTCTACGGGTTGTTACTAGGTCTATAAACCTAGCAGTCCCAAGGTGGAAAAAAACTTCGGGAACTATATAATAATTAGGTGCTTTTTAGGTGCTAATTAGGGCCTCTAATCAAAAAATAGATGCTCCTTTAGTTTTTGAGAAAATCAAAAAAAACTTTTGTATCAGAATTAGGTGCTTTTTAGGTGCTCCTAAATAGTTCAAGAAAAAATATAATTGATTATTTATTAACTGAGTTACAGATTTTTTTTTTTTAATTATTAGGGGACTGCTGGCTTTACGTTTACACGTTGGTGTGTCAGAATGGAAAAAAACTTCGGGATCTATATAATAATTAGGTGCTTTTTAGGTGCTAATTAGGGCCTCTAATTAAAAATTAGGTGCTCCTCTAGTTTTATGAGAAAATAAAAAAAAACTAAGGGACTGCTAGGTTTATGAAAGCTAGAAGTCCCCTAATAAAAAAAAAAAAATCTGTAACTCAGTTAATAATTAATCAATTCTATTTTTTCTTCGACTATTTAGGAGCACCTAAAAAGCACCTAATTATTATAAAGATCCCGAAGTTTTTTTCCATTCTGACACACCAACAAGTAAACGTCAAGCCAGCAGTCCCTAATAATTAAAAAAATATCTGTAACTCAGTTAATAATTAATCAATTCTATTTTTTCTTGGACTATTTAGGAGCACCTAAAAAGCACCTAATTCTGATACAAAGAAAAAATTTGACAAGAACATGCTAGCTTTTATAAACCTAGCAGTCCCTTAAATTTTTTTGATTTTCTCAAAAACTAAAGGAGCACCTAATTTTTAATTAGAGGCCCTAATTAGCACCTAATTACTATATAGGTCCCGAAGTTTTTTTCCACCTTGGGACTGCTAGGTTTATAGACCTGTTGTTACGGTGTTTATAGCAAACAGGTAAATTATTCAATGGCAAGATCATTGTCCTTCATCGTAAATGAATCAAATATAAGATACGGAATTCCATTCTAGAACTTTTGCAAGTAAGCTTTTGTGCTTCAGATATGATATCTTTGTGGGTTGAATTTTAGAAAACATTGAGGGAAGAGGAAACATTTTCATTTTAGAAGGGAAAGGATACTGACTTTAGTATATTGTGTTTTTATATTGGGAACAGTAACCCGAATACATAAGGAAGCATGCTGATGTTTTAAATAATAATGTTCACGATACCCGAAATGGTAATGAATTGCGCCTGCCTATAATGCCAAGATCCACACCAAACACTCAATGTGTATGAGGGTTTAAAGTTGTATAATGACCTACCTATGAATTTTAAGAGTCTATAGGTATAGACTGTTTAAAAAGTTATTTCAGGGTGTACAAGCTTGATGAATTTTACCAGAAGACATTTTAATCTGTTTTTGTTTATAAGATTCAACAAAACTTATTTTTGCAAGTTTTGTTTTTTATTTGTTGTTTGTTTTTTGTTAATCTAAGTTTCGTGTAAGTAGGACCTAAGTACTTTAATAACATCTTTTACATATTGTATTTTCCAGTCATAAAATAGCTGTTATGATGACATTCGGACCTAAATAATTACTATTTTCCACTATTTTTGTTTTGCAAACTCAGTTCCAGTTTACTCAAATACTATGTTTAAATAATTATTATTAACATCAACCAACCCAAAACTATTAATTAAAATTCATTCAATATATGAATCCTTAATTTCCTAATTCAATATTCAATTTGTTCTATAGTTCGAATTGATTCGAGGTAAATTGAGGTAGGTATTAATAATTCTTCTAAATAAGTATGTCAATTTTTTAATGAGAAATGCATCTAAATATTGACAAAGTTCACCTTAAAATTAAATTTAGTTTAGTCAGTAGGTAGACGCTTTTTAAAACAAATTTTAAGAAAGCAAAGGTTTTTTTTTTAAATTATTATAAGGAACTAAATTTTGTTTGAATTAAAATTGAATAAAAAAATTAATCAATACAAATAAATACCTACAAATGAAACTAAGTCGAGTGCAACGTCAATAAATCCCAGTGTAAACACTCCTTAACTAGGAAATAACCGCGAAAAAAAAAAATTACGATTTACCGCACGCGTTTATCAATACGAAAACAAATTCAAGGCGTTCCATAAACGCTATCGTGAATATATCGTAGGTAATATCGGTCGACTGAACGCGAATACGCCATTCGCTGGGCCTAAATCAAATTTTAGCCGCTTGCGCCGTGACGTTGGTAGAAACGCGCGCTTACGTTTTTGCTGCGATGTTGTCGACTTGATTTTGAAATAAAAGTTGTAATTAAATACAAAATAAAAAAAGAACTTGACGCTGGATAAGTGAAAGAGAAGGAATCACTAAATCAAAAAACCCTATCGATCAATTCACAAAAATCATGATTGTTTTATGAAAATCAGATAAAATGTTTCAATATCCAACCCATCACTGAAAAAAGAACTAAAAAAAAAAGTCATGACAAACTTTCGTAAGTAATTCTTTTTTTTTCCGAAATAATACACAAGTTAGAATCAATATCTTGGAATTTAAAGATCTTTTTCTATTGACGTTTCATAATAGCAACTTTTCGATTGTCATTTTAGTTTTAAAACGACATTCTTTTAAGCACTGAGTGCGTAAAAGTTACTTTTAAGCACTCACTGCGTAAAAGTTACTTTTGAATGCGTAAAAGTGACTTTTGAGTGCGTAAAAGTAATTTTTAAGCACTAGTGCCTAAAAGTGTCATTCATTATTCAGAAATAAAAAACACACTAAATACACATTTGAATTTTGTTTTGTATTTATTATAAATATTAAAATAGTTATTTATGATATAAGTGTTAAAAGTACATTTTTAAGGCACGTATGTGAAAGTATTCCTGACCACGACATACTTTCAAGAAACTGACAAGACATTTCGTTACCTGTAAAACAAGGTGCTGGTTGTATGGATTTTTTGACAAATGTCAAATTCAAGAATTTTATGTAGGAAAGATGCTTCCAATTTATTATTCATTTAAAAATCCAATTTGTTAGTGGTTATTGCTTTTTATTGCCGTTTGTAGAAAAAATATTGTATGACATTTGTGTTAAAAGTATTCTTAAGGCACTTATGTGAATTTGCGCTTCGCTCATTCTGCAATTCACATAAGTGCCTTAAAAATACTTTTAACACAAATGTCATACAATATTTTTTCTACAAACGGCAATAAAAAGCAATAACCACTAACAAATTGGATTTTTAAATGAATAATAAATTGGAAGCATCTTTCCTACATAAAATTCTTGAATTTGACATTTGTCAAAAAATCCATACAACCAGCACCTTGTTTTACAGGTAACGAAATGTCTTGTCAGTTTCTTGAAAGTATGTCGTGGTCAGGAATGCTTTTTGCTAAAAATGCAACAAAATACAGAAGAAAAAGAGAGTTGCATCGATCCTTCGACAAATATAGATGAGGCGGCCAATCGGGCTACCTCAGTTGTTCAAATTTCACCATTATTATCAATGTAAATAACTGAAAATACAAACTTTTTTTGACGTCCGCTCTCAAAATTTGATGTTTCACTTTTAACACTAGTGCTAGAAAGACTTTATGGCACTAGTGCGATAAAGTAACATTTTTAATGCTGCGGGGCGGTTACTCAAAACAGATCTTTGTGTTCTACTTTCTGGGATTTTAATTATTGATATCGAATCTTGAATAAAAAATCGCATGAAAAGTGTCAAGTGTCAAGCGAAAGCAGGTAACAAAGATTTTGGGCATAATCGAATTATTTACATGAAATAAAATTGTGTTTTTTTATTATAATATGCCAGTAGAAAAAATCTTGTATACAATACGTTACGAAACGATGTCTTTCAGTCACTCAACGTGTTGTCCAACTCGGCTTTTCCTCGTTGGACAATTTTCACGTCGCGTGCCTAAAAGACGCTCATTTCGTAACTTATTGTATAAATAGGTATTATATTGTCAAGAATTCTACGGGTCCATTATTTTACAACTCTACTAACAGCAACTTTAATCTTAATCGAACTTTTTTACAAATTCACTAATCACTATTATATTCAGCCTCGTCTCATAATAGTGCAGTCAATCTAGGCAGGTTTATGCAGGTGAGGTAGAAAAAATTAGTAACAAAGTGATCTCTGCGTAAATGAGTAGTCAAAAGGGTCCTAATTAATTCCTCAAAAATTGCACTTTGTCGCATTGGTGGAACTTGGAAAAAAATGGCCGCCATCTTGATTTTTTTCGAATTTATTGAATATTTCGGAAAGTATACATTATATCAAAAAAACTCAGGATATCTTTTTTGTAGAGAATGAAAAGTTACTTATATTAAAGGAATTTCATTGCTTTTAGCTTGAAAACAAAAAAGTTATTGGAATTTAATTTATTTAAAAATCTAGAAATTTTTGAACTTTAGGTAAAATCGCGAAATGTATGCATTTTTCTAATAAAATTCAAGAATGCCTTTTAGTATAGGTTTAAAGATACCTATATTGAAATAAAATAAAAAACATCAGTAATTATTGAAAGGTTTGGTGTCAAAGGTTTAAAACATGGTCTCCAGTTTCCAATCTTCCTCTTCCCCTACTGGGAAGGTTTAGTGATTGTTTTATAAACTATAAAATATAGAATTGAATTTATTTGAATTACTTGGTGCTCGACTTGGTGGCGCATGTTACAAAACTCAACGTCATTCAGACTTTTGCCTAAACACGTCTTCAGCAGGACTAATATTTTATTATTATCACTTATCTTATAACTTTCAGTTCTGTCTATTCCAAACACTATATAGGGTCTTAAATTCTTGATTTCTTTAAACGAAAACATACAAAAAATTCATTTTGGAAGGAAACCATTTGAAGAGACAGGACTGAAAATTAAAAAGCAAAAAAAAAGCCTGAAATTCTAAAATACAGGAATAATGATAATTCAAGAACTTGGAAAAAAAAAAATTCAACAGCCAAAAGAAAATTAAGAATTAGGAATAAAGAAGTAAGGACAGTCTGTAAATAGCATTCAGACAGTGAACACATCTTGTTTACATTCCTTTGTTAATTTGTGACTATTATTGAAATACGTGCGTGCAATGACTTCTTCAAGCGATGGCGAAGTGTATATGGAAAGTGATAGTGGAGGAAATTGGTCCACGAAAACCGGCAAGCGAAAAAGTAAAAGAAAAAGACACGAATTGCCTCAAGAAGAAATTTTTAATGTTATCATAGGCGTAATTCCCAAGCAAAAACATCAAACACAACAAAAACACCACATTCCACAACAAATATAAACACAATGAAAAACGTTCAAAGCAGCAATACCACAGCCTCCTACACTTACAAGCCATGAAGTTGGAAATGACGGCAACGTCGCGTATGGTGCTATTTTGTTATCGAGGTTATGTGTTTCTGTGTATTGCGTTCATTGTGTATTGGTGGAGTTTAGTATTTTTGTGGGTATTATTGACGAAAAAGTGGATAGAAACACCCATATATTGCCCATATTTAGTTGATACCTGTTCCTTTGTGCTTTGATTGCAAATTTTTACCAAATGGGCACAGGGAGCAAAAATGAAGGAAAGGTAAGGTAAATCAATAAAATAGTAGATTATACCACGAGTCAATAATGATAGCTATTATTCCCGAGGATTATTACGAACTGAGCCGCGTTAGCGTCGAGGGAGTAACATTCCGAGGGAATAATAGCCATTATTGCGAGTAGTATACTCTACTTTATTTACGACAAATTAATTTATTTGAGATTTTCAATGAACAAATTTCATCCGTCTCATAATTTTCAATACAAATCCACAAGCACTACACGTTTGACACTGACACTTTTGTGGAATAATGACCATTAATCCCGCTACTCGTCATTAATCCCTGGAGGAATAACATATGTCATTATACTGCAAAAATCACAAATATAATACGCACTTTATACATTAGTCGTAAATAAACAATATTAATTTTTGTGTGCAAGAGCATAGGTCTCGATATATTACCTAAGATATTCAAACTTGTTCCAGATGCCATGAAGCTACTGTGTTCCTGGGTGCAAATCGAACTATAGGAGTTCCTTAAAAACTGAAGAAATGCAAACATTTCCAAAAAAAATCTGAATTACAGAAGTTGTGAATGAAGACAAGATATTTATACCCGAGATATACCATAACGAAAAATTCTGTGGTGTGTTTTAAACATTTTGAAGAAACCGAAAAAAATAGATTTGAAACAAACAAGCATGAAGGAGTAATTCGAGAGTTCAAACTAAAACGTTCAACTCTTTAAAGTACGAAAATCAGCTCAAGTATTTGAATGGACCTGCCTTCCGAAAAAATCCCGAAGAAAGAATTAGATTTTCAAAAGACATACTGAAACTGTCGAAAATTATTCAACTATGGAAGTTATATTAGGCCTATAACGCTTTAGAATTTAGAAATATATTTATTTAAATCAATTATTTACTGTTCTTATTTACACAAATAGTTATATTATATATTGAATTACTTTTTTTGACTGTTTAGTACAATAAATGATGCATTTTTTGTCATTTTTATTAACAAAATAAAAAATATATATTTATAAAAACAAACAGCACCAGCACCACTTGCCGGTAAGATTGCGGTGTTGCCTTTTTAACTTCATGGCTTGTTAACTGTAGGAGGCTGTGGCAATACCCATACCCATATCAAGGATAAAAACACAGTAAATATACACTACTCCCCAATAATGAGGGACATCAAACAAAGAAGGTACAAATATTTATTTTACATTATTGCTACTGATAAAAATTATACTAGGGTCAAATTCCCCGACCTATGGGAAAAAATATACCCCAATGCAAAAGATATAATTCTTACCACCAAAAATGGATTACTTCTAAAAACTGACACCTCATCTGAATCTGTCAAAGCCTCACTGAATAAAAAGGTGGAGACTAGTAAAATCACGTCCTTTAAAGAGTCCTCCCCAAATAATTTACCAAAATCCTCTACCTACAGTCAGCCCCACAAGCTACTCAGTAATAATTACTGGAATGGAATATGAAATAGAAGATCAAACGGTTAGCAACTTCCTCAAAAAACACAATCTAGAACATAGATACTGCCGCAGAATTGTAGCAAAATCAACGAACAAATCAACTATGATGATCCGTATAATCACAGGAGAAGAAGAAACATCCAA